ACATATCATCGAATTTTATTATATATTACGCATCTCAAGTATGTATAAAAAATATCATCCTAACCAATGTGTTAGACATATACAGCTGTGATGTGTAAATAAAGAATTGACAGGATATATGATATGTCAACTACATATATTGAGAGTATCACTTATACATTGAGCTTACACAATTGTTTGACCTTTATTAATTTAATTTATTATTATTATTTTTTTTTAATCTTCCAAATAATATTTACAGTTCTTGAAAATTTTGAAGATGGAGCATGCCCATTGCTAATTAAATTTAAAAACCTAATGAATGATGATGAATGAGTTGACCCGACCCTTGATACCACATGATTGGGGGGGGGGGGGGGGGGGGGGGTCGGTCCCTTAATTAGAGTGATTCTTGAATTAAAAGATTGGAATGACGACCAATCATGGGTTATTAATATGCATATAATCTCCACTACATCATATTAATTTAAATATAATCATGTATTATTTAATTGGACAATCATAGTTTATTTGGTTATGATAGGAAGTTTCCTCTTAGCTCTTACCATATCTTTACGGATCTTTAAAGGGCAGAGCAGAAAACAAAAGCAAACAAATAAAATTTGTGTTATTTTAAAAAAGCATTATGCTATTTCCATAGGACCCCATTCATTCATGTCAAAATAGATGATTAAAAGTTTAATTGAAAAAGAATAAAATGAAGATAGTTTCATAGTTACAGAAAAGAAGTCAGGGAGACAATGAAAGCATAAATGAATACTAATGGGCCACAAGTGATCATAGTTAGAAAAGAAGTCAGGGAGACAATGAAAGCATAAATTGAATCCACTAATGGGCCACAAGTGATTGTTGTTTTGTTTAAGGGTCAATAAAAATATCAAGCATTCTTGATTTAGAGAAACCTTTTAACTCGAGCCTAATTAATTGCCACTCAACCTTTTTAGTACACATGTTTATTTCATGTAATAGATAGTGGAAGACACGTCCAAGCTAAGATATAATGGTAAGTGGGTTTTGATCCTATCAGATGCCTAAAATCTCTTATTGAGACTATTGATTGATTCTTTCGCCATTTTATAAAAAAAATAGAGGTTGCTATATTTACACCATCATATAACTATGATGTGATATATGTTATATCTATACAAATTTTATTTATTTTAATTTTTAATTTATAATAAAATAATTATTAGTAATGATCATGGTGTAATAAAAATGGTGTAAAGATTGTGTAAATATACATTAATCAAAATAATATAACTCCACACTTGACACCCTCTCTAGTTTAGCATGTGACTTTTAAATTAATAATAAGCCTAACAGTCTCTTCCAACCAATTACAAAGTAGACTATTTGGGTAAATGAATCCATTAAACATCCAAATAGGCTTATAAAAATTGGGACAAGTATCCTTTAAGCTTTTCATACATTATCAAATACGCACTCAAAAGTTAAAAAAAAAAAAAATTATCACGTTGTTACTAGGTTTACAAATTACTTTCTATTAGACCAATGTCAACGTTTTAGTTTTACCTTAAAAACCAAAGTTACCATTTCGTCCATTTAACACAACAGAATTAGGACAAAGAGGTATTGTGATACGATTTCAGAACTTCGGGGTGTATGTGTGAAAAGTAGGAAAATTGTTAAATATCATGATATTCCTCCTAATAAATTTGACACATTTATTTCACCAAAATCAACTAGTATGGTGGACAATCTCTGTTGCATCAATACCCGACTATAATTACAGCTACTTCGGCAAGAATGACTCAGAAAGTTTGCAACTGTTTGCATCAGAGACGTTTGGTCATACATTGGAAAAACAAACAAGACAACAATTCATTCCATAGTATTCTGACAACGTAACTGAAGCTGAATATTAGTAGGTTCCAATCACCTTCTCATAAATTAAAAGTAACTTTCTCCACTCAGTAATAACAAAAAATCATAGCTAATGAATGTTCTATATGACTCCATTTGAATATCTAGGGCAGCTGGAACATTTTGAGTACCTAAATATCTTTATGTATGATGCAGAGACTTTCTTAAAGCAAACTGCAATATGAGGGAAAATAAGTAAATAACATTAATCCTAAATCGGTAAATCCCTTTTCCAGGCAAATAAATCTCAGTTCGGATACACAATTTTGTTTCCTGGAAGATATCGCACATTCAGCACAAACCCATGATAAATGAAATATAGCACCCTAACCAAACTTTCTTTTTTTCAAAATAATAACAATAATAAATTCCTTAGTGATCTGAGTCACTCATAAACTCTTCCCCATCACAACCTCAAATATAGTTCCAGGATGATACCATGCAAATCTTCAAAAGCTGATGGGTATTAATCTTTGGAAAATTAGGAATAAGTTAAAATATTTGCAAAGATAAATGCAGGGAAAGTAAAAAGTCAGCTAACTCTCAATTTTGCTTGCCCATGTAAATATTTTGGAAAAAAGTTGCACCACATGGTTTCAGCCAATGTTTAATGTAATTCATATGCATTTAAATGCTGCAGTAACAAGCATCCATACCAATTTGAACAAAAAAATCAATATTGTATTTAGCATATAATAGAACCACTATCTTAATAACAATGTCAACTAGATTGTCGACCCTACAAAAAAAATACATGTACTAGCATACACCATACAGATCATCCAATATTGTAACCGGATTTGGACTTTATTCACATTCATTGACACAAAAAAGGCTTCAGTGACAAAATTGGACTGCATTTTACAGCTCCTTAAACATCTATAGCCTCATGAACAAGGTATTTCAAAGATATAATCATAATGCCACGAAAGTGCACAAAGAAAAGAAAACCATAAACAAGAAGCAACCTTCCTAAGTCTCCACATAAGTAATCAATGGACATCTAGAAAAATATTAAATAGGTTGCTATGTGCATGCTTTGGAAAGAAACTAATAAACACAGTTCAAGCTTCATATAATCATAATCAGAGATTCTAAGGACTTTCCCAAGTTTTCTGGTTTTCTACACATTATACAGCACAATATCTACTAAACAAAGAACACCCTGCCTCTGTCCCCAGCCCCCAAGCAAGAACAAGCCCTAATACAGTTATACAAAGAAGTCTGCTTCTTGTAGTTCTAAATTTGGGGACCGTTATCTTTGAAAATTTATAAGAAAGCCTGATTCTAGAAGCAATTTTTACATAACAAATAAGTGAAACATTGCGATTTTGCATATTATTGATACTGCATAGATGCTTCTCCCCATTACATTTGTAAGACAAGTTGTTTTATGTTTGGATTTTATTTAGCACTTTACAGGGATTCCTAAAACCAGGTATGCAAGTGAACCAAGCTATTAATCAGTTTGATAAGAGTTAAATTTGACTCATCACTGTGTAAACCAAGCTCAAACTTGGTACTAGAGTTTATTTAATTTTTGAGGTCAAACTCAAAACAGCAGAAGTTGGATTCAAGTTAAACTAGTTAGCCCAAGTACATACACATATATAATCACACACACACACAGATCGATATTAGTCATATATGATCATCACTATATATATCTCTCAGATATAGTTATATATAAAACATAAACTAAATTAACTACAATTATTATACATGATATGAAGGGTATATATATAAAAAAGATTTAAGGAAATGCTGTATCAATAAGATTCCAACTCAAACTCAAATTAACTTTGACAAAATTTTTAAATTGAGCACAAACTTCTGTTAATATGTTACAAACAAAACTTAGCTTCAATTTTAAAGCTAAATCTAACTCAAGATGAGCTCAAACTCAGTCTCTGACCAATTTATTTGTGCTGAGCTACAATACCCAAGGATTTCGCACAGTTCATTTGCATCCATGCCTAAAGTTTATTTCTTGAGCTAACCTGCTTCACAAAAGTAGAAAGTTGATTTTCTCAATCATTGTACCACCTGATATTCATTTCATACAATATCTGTTTGGCCAAGGGTCTATTCTATTATTCACCAACAGATTTCAAGGTCTTTAGTTATCAATTTCAAGCTTACCTTCCTAAGGATTCAACTAAATAAGTTAATGATGCTAGAAACACGATGTTATATTATTAATAAAAAAAAGGGCGTTTTTCAAGGTTTCTCTCACAACATCCTTGAAAAACAATATGTTTCAATGTTGTTGGTGAAATGTTATATTATAACTTACTGATCACAATTTGTCACGGCGATAAAATATTTGAAAAAGAACATGTAACATTTCACAAATGAACACAAAGAGATATATTGTCAGAAGAAAAATGTTTTCTTATAGATAATGTACTATTATATAACAAGCTTAGTTAACAAAAATGGTTATTTCTGAAAAACCAATAAACAGTTGGCGGCATCTAGTTTTAACTAGATTTCTAAGAGTCTTTAATCATTCAACTAATAACTAAGCACATGATCTCACCCCATCCCACATACACCAAATAATATAAGTCCTGGAAGAAGTCCTTCAAATAACAAAACCAGACTCCATGGTATATATATATAGTACTTAAGGTCATCATTCAAATACTTCAAAATGTTAAGCCCAAAAAATCAAAGATAAAATGAGGTTAGGTCAGATCCATCATCAAGCAGGTTTTATAATGGTTACAAATAACAGATAAACTAAATGATCTAAACAATTTGTTCTGTTCTCCCAACTGAACTACTGAATATGCTAAACTATGGTTTCATTGATTTCGGTAATCGATATATCTAACCATTTAACTAACCATTTAACTCTTAGCTTCTACGGCTAAGATTTCAACATAACAAAGAAAGTAGACTGCTGTAATTTTCAATTGCCAATTATTTATGGAGGTCCAAACATAAAGCATCTCATGCAACTTTACACATAATAAAAAAAAAAAACTACACAATACTCCACATATCAATCAATAAAGGGCAATTATGAGAAATGATAAATCATTTATAGGTAAACAGCGCATTTGACCCAATTGCAAAAAAGGGGTAAATAATAAATCAGTACAAACAACTGAGAAAAAAAAAAATTTAATTAATTGAAGGTTCCAAAAGGATACACGAGATTAAGAAATAAAATGCTCATAATATATAGCCCATCAATTGCCAGGATAAATGTAATCAGTACATATGCCAGCATCAAAGATGACAACCTCCCAGAACTTATTTCCTCCCTCGAAGACAATGCCAAGAAAATTAAGGATCATGAAACCCATATTCTAGTTGTGTTCTTAAAAAAGCTTCAGCAAACTCTAATGACAACCTACCAATGTGTTGGTACTTCAAATTATTAAACCTATTCCTGTGCTACATAACGCCAACCTTTGCAAGTTTTTCATGCGACTAAAAATGGGGGAAGACACCAATTTAATGGAAGAAATTTTGAATAAAGTTTGGAAAAAGAAATAAAAAGCTCAAGACCTCCTTCCAATAAAACATTTCATTGAATCTTGAGTAAAATGTGAAACTGTTCCCATCCTCCCCCACCCAAACGGGAAAAGATAAGAAAAGAAAGAAGGAGAAAATTACCCATTAGCAAGAATCCTGTGTTGAGGACAAACCAATCTTGTACATCCTGTAGAAGCAGCACCACCACAGTCGGGATGGTGCCACCAATATCCAAATCTTCAGCAACCCATCACAGCACAATTATAGACAAAATTAACGGATTGCTTTCTAGCAAGCAAGTCCCACTGTGGAGGTCCTTCACTGGGAACCCAAGAATTTAGCTCTATGAAACCTTCACCAGCAGTCCTAGGTCCACCAATGACAATAAGTCGGTCTCCACATGCTCTAAATGCCAGACCCCAACCATTCAATGAGTTTGCCCTTTCAGGCAATCTTCCCACTGTAAACCACAGTCTCCTCTCCTTGTCATACTTGCGCACCTCCATGTCAGCATAATCAGCAGCATAAAGTTCATTATTTACTACTGCAACCAAGGGTGGTGCCTCACCAGATGCAGGCCTATCATTTTCCCTTGTAGCAGCAGCACGGGCAGGAGACATGTTAGGAATTTCAGTCCAAGTTTCCGTCTCCAAATCAAACTCTTCTCCACATGTAAGAAGCTTTGAATCAGGTCCTCCAATTCCTCCAATAACATAAAATTTCCCATCCATGAATACCCCAGAACACATCTTCCTTGGATTCTTCATGCTGGGCAATATCTTCCAAGTTTGAGTCTCAGAATTATACATCTCAGCAGAGCTCAAAATATTTCCCTCCAAATCACATCCACCAGCCAAAATTGCTCTTTCTCCAAGGCTAGCAGAGCCAAACAAACACCTTGGAGAATTCATTCTCATCCCCGAAGACCATGAATTTGTCAAAATACTATACCTATATATAACATGGGTTATATGTTGGGACGTTAGCTCCCTACCAAAGACAAGTAATTCCGTGCCCACTGCCAAAGATTCCTTATCAGAACACATGAAGCATTCATTTGAAGCCATCCTTGGCAAATGCATCCACCGATGACGAATTGGATCAAAGGCCTCCCATTCAAGTAAATGACAAGAAAAATAAACCCAATGCTCAATCACAAGATTCAGCCTCCTCAGCTTATACAACTCCCCACTCCGAATCAAGGACCGGAAATTCCGATTCAGAGAGGCAAGGGAACCATAGTCAGACCTTGAGCAACGAAGGAAACAGCTAATGGAGTTGTCTCGGCCAATTGAGTGGATAAGTGAGTGTGAATCTGATGAATCTCCAGCACGGGATCGTTGCTCATCAGATTGCTCAAGAGAAGCTCCCCGTATTGTTCCACGGGAACTAGATAGCTTTAAAGACTTGTTACGTTGATGACGACAATCATCTTCCCCATCAATTTCTAATGGTCGCTTGCTACTTAAGTCCACCATGCAGGTCATATAAGCCCACTTGGTTTCCGGCTGGCACAGGGTAGTTATCTCCCTCCTCGAACTCAGCAAGTAAGGACCCTCGAACATGACGTTTCAGTTCTCACTGGATCAATTAATAGCAACAGCACAGCGCTCAATTCCTTCTCCGTAACCACACCAATAGCAAATTCCACGACAAAAGGAATTTGATAATCCAAGCACCTCAAACTCCCCAAAAACGCGGTTGAAACAGTGAATAAACCTAAGTCAAAGAAAATTGAATGAAAATTTTGATTTTCTACTTTTGAAACACAACCAAACCTAGATTGTTAATTGTTTATAACCGGTAATGAAAACCAGGAAACGAAAGTTAACAAAGCATGGCCTTTTAGCTCTATATCAAATGTTAACTGATCTGAATCCAATACAACAACGATCCAGATTGAGTATAGAAACAAAATCTTCTAATCAGCTCCCTTTAGTTTTATATGAAAATAATTCAAATTAAAACTGAATTTTTCAAATTAGAGAATAACTGAAAACAACAGGAAATGAATACCAGATCTCTAAACTCCAAACATTAATTATGAATTTCACGTTGCTTTTAACACCACAATAAATCAAAATTTCACGGAAAGGATCAAATTTGAAGGTCAAACTACAAGATTTAAAAGAAGAAAAATCTGATTGATTGAGATCTGGCTACAATTAAACACTTGTAATAAAAAACTTATCCACTAATTTTCTATTTGGTAAACAAAGAAACGAAAGAAAAAAATGTTAAAAAAGGAAAAAAACAGAGAGAGGGAATCAATAGTAATGCAAAGGGACTTACGAGGATTGGATAACAAGTAAAGGAGGACTTGATTGGAATTTTCAAAATTTTAACAATTGGCCTCTCTCTCTCTCTATACGCACAATATAAATTAACTGTTTCTGTTCTTGGCGTTCTTGTTCCTTCTTCTTGTTCTTCTTCTCTCCTCTCTCTATTAGTAGTCCTTCAGATTCTCCCTGCAAATCAGAGGCAGCTTCTTTGCCCCCCCTTTTTTTTTTTTTTTGTTTTGGGGGGGGGGGGGGGCTTTCAAGAGCAAAACTTCTCTGGCCCCCCTTTACCTCTCTTAAACCTTTTTTTTTTTTCTTTTTTAAATTTAATTCCAGTATTTTTATTTTATTATGTACGTATACAATATGCTTTGACGCTCTACTTTTCAATTAAATACAAATAAATAAGTTTCCAAAAGTAATATTTTGTAGCCGAATATTAACTGGAAAAGGTTTTCTTTAATATAGTACAATATAAGAAGAAGTATTTTTATACCGTATAGAATAAGATTAGACCAATTTACTTTTGACGAGGTAGAAATTTGTCCTTGTATTTCGGCTGGATATTTAATATTAGAGGTGATGGTGGGTCCCGCCACAAATAAGACGGTTTTTTGCCGATTGAGAACCGGGAACCGGTGACTGCCGGTTTAGACACGTGTTGACTGGGGTGATAAAAGGGAATAAAACTGTCCCTTCTCTCTCTTTTTATGAAACTGAGAGGACTCCGTCACCGCTACGTCTTTTGTCCGTAGGAGATTTTTACCTTTTTATCGTATCGCTCTGTCAATTTATCGGTGGATTAGCTTTTGTTCCTCTTCATCGCGGAAAAAATGGTTTCATTGAACTCGCAAACTTTTAACGTAATTATCCAGAATTGACTAGTCAAGTGATATTAGACATTATCAATCCAAGTAATAATTATTATGTTTATTACCTTAATTTTTAATAAACTCAAACCTTTGTTGTTTGACCGGTATGATGTCAATTTTCCTAACATTAAAAAAAATGCATTAATTAAAATATTTAATTATTTACTCAAATTTATTAAGTATTCAATCTCAGTGCATAAAATGAAGCTGGTGTTCTTCAAGGTTTAAATGTTTGAGTTAACGACTGTTCCCACCCAAAAAATGTTCTATTGACAAATTCATATCCACCCACATTTTAAAGACCCTTTTAGTACCCAAAGGTTAGTAATTTTTGTTGTAGGGAAGGGTAAAATGGTCAAATGTTCGTTATTAGTGAAGACATAATGGTCAACAAACATTTGACCACCGAAGAAGAGAAAAGAAAATGGGAGACGCACATTAGCAAGGAGATGGCGACGATTTTGCCGTTTTTCGACAGATCCCGGTATCCAAAATCACTTCCGAGACCACCCATAGAATCCCCATCACCTCCTCTACAAAGCTCAAGTCTCCATTTTCCGTCATCACTCACCATTTCCCATCACCACCTCCATTCACACAGCTGACATTCAAGCGGGATTTTTGGTCATTTCCAATGTCGGGAATCCATTGTGAAACTCACTGCCTCCTCCATCTTCTTCCCTAAGCCTCTCTCACCCTTAATTCATTCATCCCGAGCCCGGTGCACCTGCCAATCGCAGGAAATCACTGCTTGAGTTTCTGCACGATTTCCCATATTTCTAGCCTTTTTTTGATTGATTCAGTCACCCAAAATGCTCCCTGCCACCACTGTTCGACTCCCCACCCTCCGCTCTTCAAAACCCACCCCTCTATGCTCGTCATTTGTAGCATGTGTCCAGCTCTTTCCACCGTGGGATAGTCACGATTTGCAGCGGTTTCCTCTGCAAATCGTTGGTATTTTTGGTGTTCAATCAATGGCTTTTGATTGGTTGTTTTTATATTGTGTTTTTTTTCCGGCCACTATTATCTCCTAGATCATCCAACCTCGCTACCCCAACGTTGCTCACCACTTGTTCGATTTATTGCAGCACCCAACTCCCAGCCAACAATGGAAGAGGCTACGGGTATTTTCATAAATTAATGTATTTTCCACCCAAAACATAATATTTGGGTACTAAAAGGATATTTAAAAAGTAGGTGGGTATGAATTCGTCAATGCACCATTTTTTGGGTGGGAACATATCGTTAACTCCAAATGTTTTGTCATTTTGTGCCCATTTAAGTCATACTGGCATTTACAATGTTAAATAGATAAGGAATTCCTTTGTTTTAAATTCTACCAAGCTAAACGTATCCCATCATTAATGTCTTTTGCAATACTTATCACTAAATTAATTAGGTAATGAGTTATTGTCACATAAATGTATAAATGCAAAAATAATATATCCTGTTATTAAATTTTATTTATTAAGTTGACCTTTTAATTTAGTGTATTTAAAGGTTTTAAGTTAACATTAAAATAATTATTTTTTATTTCTTTTTATTGTTTATTGATTTACGTTGGAATGATTTGTATTAAAAAATCATGTATAATCGTAATTATAAGAAACATAGACGTAGGTAGATTTGTGAGAAGCATAAAAAATTTGGTGGGCTTTAAATATGGCTTTGATATGTAAAATAAATAATACATAGGCTTTCTTTTAATTATGTAATAGTAATACATAGGCTTTGCCATGGGGTCTCTTTCTCGCTTTCTTCCCTATCACCTTGAATTTAATCATAACCTCCGCCCACCCCTTTTTCTTTATTTCCCCTTATAACCTTTTTGTTTTTTAATTATTTAATAAATAATAAATTTGATCATCACATCAAAAAAAGTGAACCATCTAGGGTCATATTTGATAATTATAATCATTGACCCTCGTCCTGTAACTAATTACATTGAAGTTTGTCTTGTTGTAAGAACACGACATTTGAATAGGGGTAGTTAGGGGTTTTTAGATTGGGTAGCGCCGCGTTTTTAAGAACTGGTCAATACAAACAAATCACGTTGTATTAAATAAATTTATCTTTTATAAGATTTAGTGACCGATTGATATTGGTTAATTTCAAAAGAACCGATAATGAAAGTGACTATTATCTTTGTTCTAATATAAATAATAAAATAATAAGAATTGAGTTAAATTTAGTTGTAATGAGTCAGCTCAGCTCTTTGGAGGATGTGGTTCCAAACCGTCAAGCTGGTAGTGGTCCCACCGACTTTTATCTCATTACGTCTCACCATTGTTCAAAAACCCACTCGTATCTTCACATCTTGACCGTCTATACTCTTTTTTATTTTCTAACATACTTTTTTTCCATTTCAAACTAAAACTTAAGTTTTATGTTCTTACGAAACCTCTTTTTATAAAACCAAAAATATTTGTTTTAATTACTGTGTGTTTTTGCGTGTACGACTTGACGGAAGAAAACCAAAAGGGAACAAATAACTGGCTCGTGAGGCGCACGTGATTAAAAGAAAATTTCGATGTACAAATCTGAAAAACACGCACACACACGTGTATAAACGTTTACAAAGACATCGCTATAGGAATGCGAGCCACGTGTCGGAGCACGTGGGAAACTCTTAGTGGAGGAGACTGTCAAATAAAAAAATAATAAATTTATTTAATTAAATTCTAATACGGCCGCCTCTACACTTGCTATAATCTCGATTAGACCGCAAAAAATGAGCAGTACACATGGGAGAATGTCCGCCTGTGCCGGCTTTTGCTTCCAATTTACACATAATTTAATACAAGAGGATAACGATGATGATGATAGCATTAGAGCATGGTTGTTAATTAAAATAATAGTGATTTTTTAAAATTGCATGATATTTTTGGGAAGAAGATAATTAATCTACGGTCTTTGTTTGTTAATCATTTTTTGATTAAAAGAATTAGAGCTTTGTATAAGAAATATGAAAACTTTCCTCAAGTAATATGTATATAATAAGTTGGGTTTACGAGGTTTGATTACTTACCCTAATATGCATAAGATGAAAGGAGAAAACATTAAACATGGGCACGTGCATACACCATCTTTAAAGGCTTAAAAATCATAATGAACATATAAATATGTACAACATACACAATAATAAAACAAACTTCAAAACCAAGCAACTCCACTATCATCTACAAACCCACAAAAAAGATTCTGGCGTGCACTAACCACTTATAATAATCCCCTCGTTCATCAACCGATGCATCTCTTATCCAATTATGTCTGAACACGTGTTGTTCACTTATGTAAAGACGTGTGGTCATGTGAAGCATTATTGGACGGTGAGAAAGGTGTTAATGGCTAATTGCAACTCGCACATTTAAGCTAAAGATTTGTAGAAAATAAAGTAATACTATTACTTTTTCTCTCTTTGACTTGGAAAATTATTTGTAATCTAACAAAGGAGGAGCGGTGCTCTTCTTATTACGCAATCTACTAAGAATCAACTTATGCGTTTAAATGGTAAATGTAAATCTGTCTCTGTCTTAGCTTGTTTTTTTAACTACTTGGGGGGGGGGCCACCCATGTGAGATGTATGGTGGTTTACTTGACATCCATTGCAAAATTAGTTTCTGGCAAGGGCCCATTCCAATTCCATAAAGTGGGTTTTAAACCAATCCACCCACATCTTAATAACAAATGAAATGGACGTCTACATTTAATTGGTGTATATATACGAGTTGAAGGTAGTTAAATAAATAGAGAAACTGATGTTGATGTGATGTGATGATAAATTGGATAAAGATCGATCGCAAACACATGTTATATATAAATAAAATAGAGACGTTGGAAGTCAAGTCACAATTGTTAGATTGTAGTATAAAAATTAAAGACAAAGAAGAAGAGACGTATTGGTTATAAAGATGGGAAGAGGGAAGTGAATAGTTAGGCAAACGTCACTTTTCTACAAGTATTTGTAGATGTAGAATGATTATATGTACCTTTATTTCGTCAAATAAGAGGGGGAACAAGAAATCCGTGAATTTCGCCTAACCAAATCAACTCACTTTCATTTCATTACTTGCCTCTCACCTCCTTCCTTGTTCATTCACATTTACTTTTCAAAATAAAATTTTGAAAGCTTTTAATTTACTATTTAATTTTTTTCAAGTTTTTTTCGTCTTATGAACTAAGAGCCTTCTTTGGTTGGGCTAGTCTACCAACTAAAATAGCTTATTTAAAGTTATAAGTACATTTGAAAATCTTATAGGTTGTTTGGTTATATTTCTAAAATGCTTAGAAGATTTAAAATAAGCTAGTTTATGGTTTATGATTTTAGCTTCTTCTAAAGTATCAAAATTTTAAAAATATCCCTTGTATATTTTATAAATTTGACTTAATTTATTTTTGTATATTGAAGACTTTGATAATAAATTAATATTAGAAAACTCTTTTACATTTTCCTAACCAAACAACTAATAACTTTGTTATAAAAGCTATATTTCCATAAGTTTTATTCCAATAAACTCTTATTTTAAACTAATCATAAAAGTATTCTACTATATAATAAAAGAAAATATAAAGTAGCGGGGAAATCCCAAAAATAACTCACCTCTCTTAATAATGGTTTCTTGGTATAAATATAAGTGGAGAATCTTTTAGGTGTATGACACCAGTACCACATTTGGAATTAGAATTAGTTCAACTTCAAATACATGATGAAATGAATATATATTATTCCTTTACTGGTTAGTGCTTAAGGAATATATTACATTACGTTACACGTTGTAATGTTAAATGATATAAGCAAATTGTCAAATTTTAATAAACTTTTGTAACACGTGGATCCATCATGGCCGTCGAAAATATTAGTTTGGCTTGGGTACAAGACATGATGTTATGTAAGTGGGGCCCAATAATTTGTACTGATTAGTTGTATCACGGAAGCATGAACATTATTAGAGAATAAATGGAAGAAGAGAAGCCCCGTCAAACTCAGTTGATAATTGGAATATTATTAATTTAATTTAAATATTTCTGACACACCATGTTGTTATAATTACTTTTGCTTTAATTAAACTTTTTGCAAATCACAGCAACTTAAATGTGATGAAATGTAATTTATTTATTTGGAATTGAATTATTTAATGATTCGATTAATAATGGGAAGAGTACTGTAAATACCCAACACCATTTTCAATTTTTTTTGTAATTTTCAGTTAGAAGAATATCAAATAAAACCTTATGGTTTCCTAATAATTACTTAGGCTGTGATTAATTAGTATAATAAGAGGTTCATCTCATGGGGGTTGAAGATTGTAATTAATGTTCATAATTATATGTTACTAACTTTGCCTGCCATTACTTAAGGCTCTGTTTTATTATATAATATGCCATCCTACTTCGTAGTAGTATGGGTAAGTGTTAATTTGGTTCATCATTGAAATTTTAAACCAATGTTTTAATTTAATAGAAAATAATTAAAATGATTGATATAGGTAGATAACTTGGAGCATTTGTTGGTGTTATTAATTAAGTGTATAGTTGTCAAGTCTGATTTGGTATCTAAATTTGATAATTGCGTGATAAAAAGTAATAAGAAAACGTTGAAAAAAATATATATATATATAAAAAAAAGAAACGATAAGACTAAAAGAAGGGGGCAAAAAGTTGATTAGCGTGGATGCTTAATGTTTAGAAGTCGGTTGATTAGATAGATAAGGGTGTGCTAATAGCTTTCAAATTTTCCTTTATTGAATCTGTCTCCATTCATCTTCATCCTGTAGAGAGTTGAAATCTTCCTTTTTTTTTTTTTTTTTTTTTTTTAATAACCCCATTACCTCCCTTCTAGAAAAGAAAAAAGAATTTATATAAACACATTGACTTTATTTAGATGTTGACACTGACAGCCCAACAATACACACCATTATGTAGGAAGCTAATCTAATACACTATTATTTTTAACAATTAATGTTGTAATAAAAATACCTGACAGTTATGGTATGGGCCCAGCCCAGCCCAGCTCGGCCCTCGAATTAGTGTGTGTACTTGGTTGCTACTTATGTTATGTCCATTCACAAAAGTTGTACAGTAGCCGTTTGGTAATGTTAGTACAAGTTGTTGGTTTATTATAATTATAGGGGGCTAGTAATTGGAAAAATTAGGCAAGATTAATTAGCTGCTAATTGTTTTATGTTTTATCTGTTGCTTAAAACGATTAAATCATTTCTCTCCTTATTAAGTAATAACTTCAGCTGTTAGGAGAATTGGTTAACACCCTTTTCTTTTCTGAAAACAATTTGGCAACCATGTGTACACTTTGAAATCATCTTAGCTACATCTAAAGAAACACACAATATAGGAAACAAACTTAATTTTACTGAGAATAGCAAGCCTCCTCAATTCGCCTTGACCATTATGAAGGTTGAGTCCCATTTTGCATATATGATCCGCTCATGAGCAGCAACCCTCCCTAGGTTACTGGGGCTTGGTTCACATGAAACCAGACTCTTAATACTAATTGTTAAGAACCTATTGGATAGAATTCACCCTTAAAATCGGCTTGTAATAGGAGAGAGCTTGAGGGTTAATAAACCACCCACTAAACTCATACCTAGTGGATGTAGGATCCTACCATAATAATAAATAGTAATAACAAGAAAAGATTTGATTTGGTTGCACAAGAATCAGGTTCTTGGGTGGAGTTGTACAAACATTAAATGGAGTTTTATTGTCATGATAATAAAATGGAATAAATGGCAACAGGACATATGAAAAAAATGAATATTTATGGGCTTTGAGTTTGGAAGCTCATTTTGATGCCATTCGGGCAAGCGGATGGTCTTCTATAACAACTTTATGTCTATTTACCCCACCGAGAATTCCTGAATTCTATTCTCATCATTTGACTTAAAAATCTTTTATGTCAAATGCAGAATGAAAACAACTTTGATAAACGGAGTCATGGAAGGAAGGAATGAATGATAAAGTTAATATAGACGTAGAAGCAATGAACCATACCATGCCCTGTCAATATCATATTCATCACCTTCCTTAAACAATTATATAATTCTATATTCTTTTGTCACCTCCTGTCATTGTAATGGACCTTCTACCAAATTGGCCCCGTAAATATGAATGTGTATCATTCAACACTATTTAGGCCCAATGTTTAATAATGGGGATACGATCAATTTGAAAAGGGTTAAAATTTACAGTTTTTTAAAGGGAGAACGACTTACACATACCCAAGATTCATCGTAACGACAAGTTGGTACCCAAAAGGTTTTGAAATGACAAATAGGTACTTTCCGTCATTTTCTGTTAGTGATTTCTGTTTATTACTGTTTATTAATAGTGAAAAGACTAAAATGCTCTTAAAAGTTTAAATTTTAGTTTTTTATAAATTTAAAAATTTTCAAAAAACCCCCTAAGTTTACAAATTTCACTAAATACCCCAATATATAAAAATTTTATAAAATAACAAAAACACCCCCCACCCGCAAGTGCCAGATTCCGGCCACCACCGTCGGAATCTGGCCGAAAAGTTGCGTTACGACACAGACCCGTCGGATCTGTGTCGTAACGCGTCGATCTGGCCTTTTCCGGCCAGATCCGTGGCTGATCTGGCCGGAAAAGGCCAGATCTACGGCTAGATCTGGCCGTCGACGCCGCAAAACTCCATATGCGGCGTCGAAGGCCAGATCTGGCAGTAGATCTGGCCTTTTCCGGCCAGATCAGCCACGGATCTGGCCGGAAAAGGCCAGATCTGGCTGCTGCTTCGACGGCCAGATCTTGCCTTTTCCGGCCAGATCCGTGGCGGATCTGACCGGAAAAGGCCAGATCGGCACTTTACGACACAGATCCGACGGATCTGTGTCGTAATGCAGTTTTCCGGCCAGATTCCGGCGATGGTGGCCGGAATCTGGCATTGGGGGTGGTGGGGGTGTTTTTGTCATTTAACAAACTTTTTATATATAGGGGTGTTTAATTAAATTAGCAAACCTAGGGGGTTTTTTAGAAATTTTTAAATTTATAAAAAACAAAAATTGAAACTTTGAAGGGCATTTTAGTCTTTTCACTATTAATAAACAAAAATCATTAACAGAATATAACAGAAGGTACCTATTTGTCGTTTCAAAACCTTTTAGGTACCAGCTTGTCATTACGGTAAACTTTGGGTATGCACAAGTCGTTCGGCCTTTTTTAAATGGTTGGAATGTTTAGGTTAACTTGTGTGTAATTAATTTTTTAGACCTATTGAATACCTTACAAATTTAATGTTTCACGGTAAATTACAAAAGTAATAGGTCATTTCAAGGTTAAAACCTACAAAGTCAATGAAAGGAACATTCATTTTGTAAGTACTTTGGAATTAAATTCACTTCTTTCTATCATCGCGTTTTAAGGTTTTATTTACAACTAAAATATTCTAATGAAACCTACAATTCATATTTGTCAAAGTGCTAGTATAGTTGAGAGTTGACAGTTTGAGATCAAACACCGAAATTTAACCAGAAAAATGCCGAGGGTATGTTGGATATGGTGGGCATTAGTTAGTGTTGTAGTTGTTGGTTCAGCGTCGTCCCGGGATCCAGAGCTTAGCTCTCCTCGTGTTGTTTTCCAGGTATTTTAGTTTTGTTCATCTCAGCTATATCTAACAATTGATAGCTGTTTTAAATAATCTTTGGTGCAATGCAGACTAATTATGGAGACATCGAATTTGGGTTCTTCCCAAGTGTCGCTCCACAAACTGTTGAACACATTTACAAGCTTGTTCGGTTGGGTTGCTATAACACCAATCATTTTTTCAGGGTACTTGTTTACATTCGTTAATTTAATTTGATTGTATTAAATGATAGTTTAATATTGAGTCGACTTATTGATGAAGGTTGATAAAGGGTTTGTTGCACAAGTGGCTGATGTTGTGGGTGGAAGGTCTGCGCCTATGAATGAAGTGCAAAGGCTTGAAGCTGAAAAAACTGTGATTGGTGAATTTAGTGATGTCAAACATGTCAGGGGCATTCTTTCTATGGGAAGGTCAACTCTTTTTCATAACTACTTTATTACAATCCCAGTATCACCTATGTGTAAAAAGTCCATTTTGGTTTGTTGCTTGTCGTAATAGAGCTGTTGTTTTGCTGATTGTCTTTCAGAATACTCTTGTGAATATGCTTTGTAAGAGTGGAAAGTGAAAGTTAAATAGGCCAACCAATTTGCTTCTCGCTGTGAAGCAATACTTGTAATCCCGAGCTAATGTGTTGCAAATTAACTACGTTAGAGTTTGAAAGGACTTAGAATTGTTTCTTAAAAGTACAGCACATTTTTTATGCACTATAAAAGATGATAAGTATAGAGTTGAATGAAGAAAATACTTAAGAAATCATTGATTCTTTTAGGCTTTGTCCCATATTAAGTAGCTTAGCTTAACTGTACTCATAAAATTTATCTGACATCCATTTTTAGAACTATGAGCCTTTCTTTGATGGTACCAACACTAGCTGATGATTGTTTTCCAGATAAAAATTTTGGCATGTCTTTGAAGCTTAATAACTACTTTCTTTCAGTGAGTATGAGCCTTACTATCATGCTTATCTATTCTTGAAAGAAAATTGTTTACTTTATTTCCATTCTTGTATCACATTCTTGTGAATATGCAATGTAAGAGTGGAAAGTAAAAGTAAAATAGGCCAGCCAGTTTGCTGCTCATTGTGAAGCGATACTTGTAATTCTGAGCTAATGCATTGCAAATTAACTTTGTTAGAGTTTGAAAGGAGTTAGAATTGTTTCTTAAAAGGTGGAGGCTTGTAAGGTTTGGCTGAAATTAGTACAGGGCAGTTTTGATGCTCCGTAAAAGGAAATAAGTATAGAGTTGAATGAAGAAAACAGTTAAGAATTCATTGATTCTTTTTGGCTTGGCTTTAACTGTACACTTGAAATTGATCTAACATCCAATTCTAAAACTATGAGCCTTTCTTTGATGGTACCAACACTAGCTGATGATTGTTTTCCAGATAAAAATTTTGGCATGTCTTTGAAGCTTAATAACTACTTTCTTTCAGTGAGTATGAGCCTTACTATCATGCTTATCTATTCTTGAAAGAAAATTGTTTACTTTATTTCCATTCTTGTATCACATTCTTGTGAATAGACAATGTAAGAGTGGAAAGCAAAAGTAAAATAGGCCAGCCAATTTGCTGCTCATTGTGAAGCGATACTTGTAATTCTGAGCTAACGCATTGCAAATTAACTTCGTTAGAGTTTGAAAGGAGTTAGAATTGCTTCTTAAAAGGTGGAGGCTTGTAAGGTTTTGCTGAAATTAGTACGGAGCAGTTTTGATGCTCCGTAAAAGGAAATAAGTATAGAGTTGAATGAAGAAAACAGTTAAGAATTCATTGATTCTTTTTGGCTTGGCTTTAACTGTACACTTGAAATTGATCTAACATCCAATTCTAAAACTATGAGCCTTTCTTTGATGGTAACAACACTAGCTAATGATTGATTTCTAGATAAAATTATGGTATGTCTTTGAAGCTTAATAACTACTTTTTTCAGACCTAATGAGCCTTACTATCATGCTTATCTATTCTCGAAAGAAAATTATTCTGTGGTGACAAGCTACCACCTTTAACATGAGGATGAGAGTGTGCAAAAGATTCTTATTTTAGAATTTTGACCCTAAACATTAATTTTTGCCTTTTGGAGTTATTTTGGACAATCATCTTTGGTCTTTGCTTTCAATTTCATATTATGTGCAAATCCATGCAATTACATACTTAGGATAATTATTATGGGATTCCTGAAATTTCAACTGTTGTTTCGTTTGACTTGAGTGATTCTAAGACCTCTCTAATATGTCTGTTTGAGATGGTGTGAGAACAAATTTTGCTTTTGTGTAGATATGCTGATCCAAATAGTGCTTCATCTTCATTCTCAATACTTTTTGGAGATGCCCCTCATCTTGATCATCAGGTATGCTTGTCGCACTTACCAAAAATAGTTTCAAGAGATTGTTTCAGAATCTCATCTGACAGTATTTCTAATGAAACTGATGACAAATTTGCTCTTCAGTATGCAATATTTGGTAAAGTTACAAAAGGTGATGAGACTTTGAGAAAGCTTGAGCAACTCCCTACTCGTAAGGAGGGGATCTTCGTAATGGTATTCTTCCAATTTACTTTCAATGTATTAATGCTTAATAATGATCTAGATTCTGGAAATGGGGCATAAAAATTACACTTTCAGACTGAAGATATACCATAAGGATAAACAACAATTTGAATATCTAATCATTTTGGTTGCATGTATTGCTAAATGTGCCATTATGGAAATTGTTTATGTATATGACAAAGATTTCATTTACTTCTTGCAATTGCACAGCAAAGAGAAATACTGATATCTTTTAAGTGTAAAAAAAGATTGTGTACCTTTTACTTAGTAATACTTATCAAGCAAAGAGGCGGAGTGAAGGATTTGGTTTATTCTCTTTGACTTTAGTATTCCCTGAGAAGTAAACTTAATTGGCTCATATTACAAATCTGGCCTGTGTTTTTCTCCAACTGATTGTGTGTTAATGCACCTATGTGATCACTATATCAACTTAATTATGATTTTTTGCATCCCTTTGGGTGTCTTTTGCTCCCTTTCTTTTGTGGATTTGCAGTCCCCCTCACTTTAATATGATAATTCTTTTTTGTTAATAAACCTTGGTTTTTTTTTTTCTCCAATTATTGTAGATAATCAACTAAGTTATAATTGTCAACTATTCTATCGCTGCTTCTAACCACTGAGCTAACCACTCTTTCTGGTTTTCCTTCCAGCCAACTGAACGCATTACAATCCTGTCGTCGTACTATTATGGTGAGAATAAAAGCATCTTGTTATAATAATTTAGTGTGTGGTACCTTGTTCAGCTGCCTCTTCTTATTGTTATATATGATGAAAGTGGTGCATTAAATTCGATTGATGCATTATTTTTCAATGAAGATAATTATTAGGTGTAACATTTGGTTTTGCAGCCAGGTCTTCAACTTGTTTGGCATGATGTACTTTCTAAGTTTTTTTACCTGCAAATACAAAATTCTCCTTTTTATTTCTATTATTCAAACATGATCTCACTACTTTGTGATTTTTTTCAGGTGAAATGCTCTGACATATAATTGTTTTTCTGCTTTTTGCTTATATATTATTAGCATTTGTAAACTGTAGTATCATATACTCATATTATTTAGACGGAAATGTTATTGATATTAGTGTTGATTATTAATTCATTTTTAATATTGAAAGAATATTCTATGTTTTTCCTTTTCCCCCAAATAAAAAATTTGTCTGCACAACTAGGTTCTTGGTCCGTTTTTCTAATTCATGTAATTATTCATCTCACTCTTGTTTAAATCTCTTCTATTATATGGCTTGTCATAATCAGTTAATCTGGTTAACTTATGGATATTTTGCAACTCTTTTTGAAAATCTACGTAAGTTCTCTCAACCATTATAGTCTAGGAAACACAGTCATCCATGCTGTTTTTTTAATTTTTAATTTTCTACAATTAAAATAAGCAATGTAGCCAGGAAATTCATGTATTGCTTAGTATGATCTTTATCACCTCATACTGGCTGGGTAGGAGGAAGATCATAGTTGACAAACTAATTAAACCAAGATGATCCCATGTTCGATGCTAAACACTCGTCTTGATATAGTGCAACCTCAAAATGTTAATGTTGGCTTGAAAGCCATGTTGCTAAGGCATCTCTTAGCTTTTCCAATTTCCTGACAAGAAGAAGGAAACTTCAGTAATAACTATGGGAAATGTAATTTAATCATCATCATAATTGAATAATTAATGCTGTGATTTGTTTCTACTTTCAGATAGAGAGATGGAGAACTGTGAAAAGGAGAAGTCAGTTTTGAAACGAAGGCTTACTGCATCTGTTGTTGAAATTGAAAGACAGGTGATTTGGAGTTCCTCTTACATATACTTGAAATTGATTCTAGATGAAGCCGGAATAAATGTGAACTTGTCTTCTGTCATTTTGCAGAGAATGAAGTGCTTCCCATGATTTAGCAACTGGATTGAAGAAAGAAAACTCACAATGGGCATAACTCACTAAGCGTAATGTTGTTTGTATAGTCATGTATGACTTTTGAAGAGATCTATTATTCAGCACTAGCCTAAACGTAGTCCATATTCCATAACATTGATGAAATTTGAAGCTCCTAGTCTCTGAGATATTTCATTTTCTTTGTTTTATAAAGTGAGAATTTGGGGGATAAAATAGAAGTTCGTACGTATTTATGTTTCAATCTAATAAATATTGCATACTCATATCCATATAGATATTTAATCGAAATGGATCATGGCCATATGATGCAGCAAACCTAAAGCCTCTAAACAGGTGAGTTGAGCTGTATAATTGCTGAAATTGTTGATTGTCCGAGCCTTAAGAAATCAAATAAATACATTACTAAGCTCCATGAGGCCAGTGTGGATGCAGGATTTTATCTGTGGAGAAGTACCAAACTAGTGTCTTCTTTGTGAAATATACTTTTCTTATGGTTTTGGGGCCTGAATTTGAAAACCAAATAAAATGGATGAATATGAGATGGTGTGTGCAGAGAAGGAATTGATAGAATTAAAGTGGGTGTAATTGGTTAGAAATTGATTGATTATATTAATAAATGAAGGACCTACAACAATCATGTAAAGAAAGGTATCAATTTGAGACAGCGAGTGTGACTGCCTTTGATAAACCGTTTGATTTGTCTGCACAATCTGACTCTGAATTTCCAATTCGAATTCAGAGAAACATAACATGTGGTGCCTGCTGTAAAGGGTAACATTTAACAAACTTTGATTTTTTCCTCAGTTTTAGCTACCTCTTATGTATCATTATTCCTATTATTCATTGTCATGTTAACCCACCTCTTCTAATTTTGGAGTTAGAAAGGACTGCATGTGATGCTGAATTGGCTGTCCCATTAATATTCCTTGTATCAAATCAACACATGGATCATATGACGAAATGCCCACTTTACCAGTGTGTGGATGCAATTTAAGGTGAGTTTTGGAATGTTGTAGTCTTAAAAATAATTTCCAATATTTGTCTGAGTTGTGCAGAGAGGAAACAATCCCACATGGTAAGGCAGCTCTACTTAATTTTAACCACATGGTTGGTCAGTTCAGTAAATTGACTTTAGATGCATCACAATTAAGAAAAATGATAGAGTTACAAAAAATTACACACTAAATCTATGTACTGAATGACGTGACAAAATCCTGATCATTGATTAATATTAACTTATAATGAATCAACGATCAAGATTGTGTCACGTCATTTGGTGCACAAATTCGGTACGCATTCTTCGGTAACTGTGGCATTACTCCACAATTAATTTACTTTAACCCAACAATCAATCACATGAATCATCATCACCATCAACCAAATATCCCTTCATTAGAAATCTCTTATATATTATGTCCCTAACTTAAATCTTAAGGGAGGTATTAAATTATGATTATCGGTTCAATGTATACATTATCATAACCAAACTATAAAGAATTGTAAAAGTAGTATACTTAACTTATTGAATAATTAATAATGGCAAATCTCAGTAGACACCAAATAAGATGCATGGGCAAGTTGAATGGAAAAGACAATTAAATATAGCGGCGGGATGCGAAGAGTTTGAAGTAGAGAAAATTATGAATCGGTCAGCCCTTGGACCACAAATGAGGTTATGGGTTGTAACATTGACCATCATGTGAGGGGTTGAGTTTGTCCAAGGGTTTCATTTGGATTTTGTGTCAAATTCTTATACCTCCCACGACCAAACCACGCAATACTATTCTTCTTATTAATTGTTCTTTGTATGGCAACCTACTGTTAAATGACACATATATGCATATATCCGACCTTCACTTCCATATTTAGATTAATCGTTATCACTATATTCCAATAATAAATCCAACCTAACCTATTTTTTCATTTATTTTTTATATTTCTAGATTTGAATCAATATATTTAATTATTTATATATATTAATTCATTTGGAATATTTAAAATTTATATCATATATCTTAGTCTAAACATCTTTAAGCCTTTTTTTTTTCTTAATGCATGGTAAATAACAAAAGATATCATATATTTATTATCAAACAAATAAGTTCCTTATTTTCATACTTATAGGACCCTTGAATAAATAACTCAAGTTTTACTTGTAAACATCTCATTATTAAGATATTCTAGCTTGTTTTCCTATGTGTTTTTTTTTTTTTTGTAAAATTGTTATAAGGAACGTGAATTCTATTAGAAAATGAAAAAACAAAAGTGTCACCTATAGATATAGGGATGAGAACCAATTCAAGATTATGAGAGAAGAATGATTAGTTGTATAAGGTATGTGATGGAAATGGTTGCTTAAACACTACAAGGTGAGTGTAGTAACTGATATTGTTTCTACTCTGTTAATTAGGTACTAGGTTTATGGTGTGTGTACTCTTGTATATCTGTGTTGACATTATTATAGTGAATTTCTTTCTCATTCGTGGATGTAGGCAGGTTATATCGAACCATGTTAAATATCATATCTTTTTATGGTAATTTATATTTATGTATTTATCTCGATGTTTTCCACTGCAAGATATCCTAACACTCATGATAAAATTATATTTTTAATTTTTGTAATGATAATAAAACAATTTACATAACTTGCTCCTAGGTTTTTTTTAAGAGTTAATTTTCTTTTAATACATTTCTTTCCATCTTTGTTCTTGCATACGTTTCATATATACGTATAATTTGTAATAAATTTAATTAACATTACAATCATGAACATTGATGATTCTTTCAACTCTTTTATTTTTACTATGACATATGCTAAATGATTTTACACCAGATTGTCTAGTGGTAGTCGAAACATGCTTTTATGCTCAAGTTTAATGGGTGCTTATAAAATAACCGGTAAGTAATAATATCAAACATTATATTAAAGTTATTTTATATATAATTTATATTCATAATTACAACTATAATTCACTTCATTAGAATTTTTATTTACAATATGTAGTACCCGAATCTCCACTACCAAAATTAAAGGCTAACAAATAAAACCATGAGACGGCCATAGTCCTGTACCAAAATGTCCACTATCAAAATTAAAGGCTAACAAATCACAAACAAAACACCGAGAGACTATTACTCTTGGTCATCAACATAATATAATCACTCAATGGATGGAAACAAATCAATGAGACAAAAATTAATTTTTTATCTCTTAACAAGTATCACAATTGAGAGGGTAAACTAGAAATCCTAATCTGTAGATGTGTAGAGCAAATTACCAGGTTTCTCCATTCCAAAGTTGAGCAAAATCGGTAAATCGGTGTCCATTTGATTGTTTGATGATCAAGATCAAGATTAATCTACCTAATTCAGAGTAAGTGAATGACGTGAGAGAAGAAGAAAGTCTGTTGAAAAGTGAAAGAAAACCACTATTTATGATCTTCTCTTAAAAAGAGGACGTGTGAGAGAAAATCTATTCAAATTAATCTACCTAATTCAGAGAAGAATCAATTCACCGAACCTAAATGTTATTCTTGATTGAAGGAATAGAAGCATAGACGTAGCCGGGAATTTATTTTATAGGGTGCAAATTCAAACAATAGTCACTCTATTTTTCGATAATATTTTATTCAATATATTTATTAATACCTTTGACAAACTTTCATATTTTAAAAGCATTGTTGATGTAGGAGATTTGGATGAAGTATTATCATTATCATTTTGTTGTAGCAATGATCTTTTATACTATTATTTTCTTGCATACTTACCTAGGATTATTATTAGGTTGAAATTATCATTGTTATGTTACCTTTACCTATAAGTTTATTATTATCTTCTAATAGCCATGTATAGGGTTGTAGATTTCTCATTTGGAACCATCGATCAATAAACCATTTCTTATTTTTCAATCTGGAATTTATTTGTTGCTCGTAAATTCGATTGTGAGTGTTTATCAATACCTCTAGAATGATATCTAAGCTAATTTCTTATTTTTTCGCTTTATTAATAAATAATTGAGTCTGCCTCAATATCAAGACGGCTGAATTCTATCAACTTATGCTACCATGCTCCATCAATTGTATATTATGTAACCTTGTTGTCAATACTAGAAGAACCAACTATGGTTGTTATAAACTCTAAAAATTAAAATTAAAGTTTTACACTTTTTAACGAATAACTTTAATAGTGAAAGGGAGCAAGGTAAGAGTTAGATAAATGTTAATAACCTCAAGAAATACTAAGAAAAGCCTCATCTTGATAAAATGCAGTACGCTTGAAACTTCAATAATTGTTTCAGCTCTAAAGGTTGAACTCCCATCAAGCTTCAACAAGGAACCACGTTCCACAATTCTCAATTAAAAAAAAAAAAAATTTGATCATCAAGAAAACCAGTAACAAAAAGAACCTGACTGAATATACTCGTTAAATTTTCAGAGCTCAAACGATATAAAATGTTCAGGTTAGAGCAGTGGGGAAGTAGAAGATGACTTTAAATATCCATGCTCAAACAAATCACTACAGTACACATTGTAAGCATTTTTAACAAACCACTCGTGAAAAGAATTGTAAACTTTCCACACAAGTTTCATGAAAGATAAAAGATAAAACATCTTATTAGATAAAATGAGTGACACCTGTACTGTACAAAAGTTGAAAGATTTAATTCTTTTACCAAGTGAATTAAACCTAAAGCGGAATGAGTTGCTATGTTGATTTTAAGAGTTCTTTGACCATAAATATAAAGTAATAAAAATAAAACAAAGAAAAACAACATCAGATTTTTACATGGTTTGGCAACATGCCTACATCCATGAGACCTCATCTACATAAAGCCAATCCACTATGGTAAACATTTATAGTTCAGTTACAAAGCCAAAGTTAAGCATCAATTACAAGAACACTCCCTGTTTTGCCATGCTTCAAACTCCACCCTTTGTCGAACTTCAAATTACCACAGCAAGCTCCACGTTCACAAGACCACTTGGTCAGCCTTGAGCTCCTCTCAAGGATCAACACCGAAGACACACTTCAGCTCCAAAAGCTTGAAATCCCATCAAGCATCACCAATAGACCCACGTAACAGCCATAAACAAATAAACAAAGTGTAACCAAGGTATTTGTAAGCCTACCTAAGGCATATGAAACTTGATTCAAAACAAGAGAAACCTCAAGGAATTTTCAGAGTAATATCAGAGGAATAATCAGACTTGAAAAGAATTGTATTGGAGATGACACAA